CGCTATTATTGCCTTCTACCTTCCGAACCCCATCGTTGAGCTGAATTGGCTTTTGAATGTTTAATATGGAACATAATGAGTCTGTAGGAAAAACATGAGCGGGCACCCACTATCACGATATCCCACTCTAACCTTAATACTGGCTAGATTTCCACGTGTTCAGCTGCCAAAGCTTTCCGGCTGTTACTTATGTAAACACCGCTTCTTTTCCCTCAGTTCCATAGCAACGGACGTCAATTTTCCGGCTTAGGGGACGGCCTTGGTGGGCCAAGGCCACACCCTAAAATCCCAGCAAGATGGTGACTCATGGAGGATATACATTGGGCATAAACGACGACAGCGAATACAGAAATCGCAAAACCAGAGAAAACAAGTAGGCAGAGCCTTTCCAACATGTCCTTTGAAGATAACCAGGTATTCAATGGTGAGTACGAGAACAGAAGAATCAAAAAAAATCCTGAAATGGAGCCGACCCTTGTCCCTCGCGTTGTCATTACACCCATTTGGGTGTAATGAGCGACAAGGTTGACGAAGGGATGGGATGACGTCGTAGTCGGTGTGATGGCATGCTTGTCCAGAACGTATCGCAGCAATGGATAATCGGAAAGCCATAAGGGGTTGTCCAAACGTTGAGTTTTGGCATATTGAAAAGAAGTAGACCTTTAAACCACCACGGTAGGGGAGCCGTCCCCGATCGGGGGGGCCTACAGGACGATGAGTTTGGTTATATAGGAGGGGCAGAGTAAGACGCACCGAGTCTGCATAAAAGTATTTCAACCTTATACGCACATGCACCACCTCAATGCGGAGGGAGAGGTTCACCGTCTTTCGCTACCCGGGCGTCCTCAGCCAGCACGGCATCGTAGGAAGGAGGAGCGTCGGCTTCCACGACACTTGAGCCAGTGCCGAGCCCAAAGAAACTCGCCACCTGAGAAACGATACGCGTAAAGGGGGCGAGAGGCTGGGAATTGACTAAGGCCTTGCAGCCGCCGACGAATTGATGAACGGAATCAACTTCATTCTGAAATCGGGGAGGTGGGACGGTGGCGAGAGTAAGGGTGTTTCGGGTGCGGTTGACCGGAGCTTGGACAGTGCTCGAGGTGGACGGGTGGGTACGAGAGATGGCCTGCGTCTCGTCGGTGGTAGGAGGGCTGAGAAAGAAAATCAGCTTGGTGCATGAAAATCGGCTGGATGGGAGGAACGGAACGTACACTACCCCAGGGATTACAAGAACGGGGGAGGCGGCATGCATGGACGCTGAGTTCATGCTCGGGATTGAGCGTTCGAAAGTATTGGCAGTCATGAACGAAATCAGTGATAGAAAGGGGGACGTGAATGCACTGGGAGTTGGACTGAGAGAGGCTTGACTTGGAGGGTGGTTCGGTGATTGAAGAGTGGGGAGCAAGGCTATCTGAATGGTGTGGTGAAGGAGGTAGTTCAAGAAAACGGCGAATCCACCGAGACACGAGTTTATATACTCCGAAACGGGACTTCCGTCCGAATCCAGCACAGCTCTCACCAAACAATCAAGCAATCAATGATGCTACAGATCGAGTGGTGGGTGCCGACGGAGAGGGAAGTAGACGTGGGAGAACTGGGGAAAAGAGAGTTGCGAAGAACCTCGGGAACCGTAAGGCGGGGTCGGTCGATGGGTCGACAGCAGGGTGCTGTTGGAACGAAGTCGTCTGACGAAGTGTCTTTCGGTGTGTAGTGAGCATTGGGAGTGGCTGGTACGAGAACCGTTTGAATTCTGCCTGGGCCGTCTATCCCACCCGCTACATCGCCATCATACTCCAGCACAAGACCGAATAGGGATGCAGGGAAAGCCTAGGGCCAGACAGAGAGGCGATAGAGCAGGCAGGTAGAACATTTTTGGAGGGTCGGTATAGCGATATACCCAGAGGCTTTGGGGCTAAAAATCCGAAATCGACCCGCTTTATACGTCGCTGTTCAAGCTCCTAACTGCCTTGTCTCAGCTGCGTGGAGCAATCGTGCAATTTTTCCGTCATTATCGCTATCGTGTACCCTGGCATAGGCGTGTGCCAGGGAGCAAAGGGGCATGCAAGTGCACCGGAATGCCTATAATTCACCGAAGGAGGGCAAATCCTTTCCTTTCGACATCCCCCCATTTCCTTGCATCGACAAGATTGCAGACTTCTGAAGCACCTGGGAGTTCTGCACCCATCCGCCCGCTTCATCGGAGGATCCGCTGGGGATTGCTCTGCGCCACTGGACGGCTATTACTGCTCGTGCATCGTTGGGCACAGGGCAAAATACACGCCCTACCCCGGCCCGAGAAAATCTAAAAATTCACTGGACAGTGTCCACCGAGGGCATGAAACCATTGCGTCTTGCACGCAGGTGGTCAGCCACAAATATGCCCTTATTCGGCGTCCCTCTCCTATCCCTGGGTGCCATTCTCAACTGAGACCCGCAGAGCATTTCCGAACAACAGCTCTCGCAAAATCAGCGGGAGAGGTGGTCCCAAATGTGTGTCTCTGGCTTGCAGGATACGAAGGGGAGAGAGCGATTAAATAGCCAAGGAGAGGGACATGGAGAGGGGATGCTACGTCCCTATCTCTTCGCCAAAAAAATGCGACTAGATGCTGTTAGCCCGTTGGACATCCCCTTGCGGTCATATCAAGAGTTGAGGTTGGCTGAAACGACGGAGTCGGGATGCGAGAGAAGCGGATGTGTCATACATTCACCATCCGATTTGCTCCACACCCACCTTTAGAATCCACTTGGGCAACAAGTGTGGCTCGCCATGACCCTTTTTCCACCACGGCGGACACAGAGAACGACGTACCTTCCATACCTACATATGCTGGGTCGCCGGTCATCACCACCGACGCGACGAGCTGCCCTGAGTCTTCCAGTCGGAAACCCAATCCTACTGTGGCCTTGATACACCACAATTTCTGTACTACCGAAACTTGAGTGGTTGTCAACTGGTCCCCACTCTGTTCGAGTTCGGACTGGTGGGCGTACCTCTGGCGCAGACGGTGGGGTTGGGAAAGGGCAATGCCCAGTGCCCACCCTCAACTCCGCCTCGTGAGGAGCACTACACGGCTAGGCTCTCTCGTGATGCCATCCTGGCGATCATCATAACCCATTCATATCTAACATCCCAAAACACGTCGACCTCCTTCCTTTTGCGTGCTACGGGTTTACCTTCAAACTAACGAGCTCTATCGCTTTCAAACCTGAATACCTGGGGATTTATGTATGTACTCTTTACCTCTTCGTAAGCGTATCTACCGAATATACAAAATTTTACCTTTTCTGCAGTCTAATCCGTCTGCAATTACGGTATAACGAATCGTCTTGTAAAAGAGCACAAACCCAGCGAATCAGTCCAGCTACGCTGAAGCCAACCACCGGCGTATTAAAACGCCACCTCGCCCATATGTCGTATATCCTCTTCATTACTGAAAGCCCGATTTTATACCGTGTGGTGGTGCACGTGGTGCCACTGCGGGGTTTACTCTTGCTTTTTGGCTTTTTGGAAAGCGCCCGTTAACTTCAAAACGAAACACGTTGCCGACGGCAACCAAAGCCCGTCCTACTATTCCATTGTTCAAAAGGTTGTGTGCTGTCTTGTGGCCTGCTTGCCCCACCCCCTTCGAGACAACTGGCCACCTGGCGCGCCGTCCGCCCACCTGAGATGCCAAGTAGTTCCCGACATCTTGGCTGACTTCTCCCCGAATCTCGATCATAGATGAAATCCAGCCCGAAAGCGGTGTGCGGTTATCGGGGCAGCTTATCCTGCTACTGAATTGTTCCTTCTGGGTTCCGTGTGGTACTCCGCTCCACACTCGATCTGCAATTTGCCGAAGGCTAGCTGAACGAGGGATTCTCTCCCGCTCCACCTCATACCGCCTCTCTTCAGCCAGCGTGGTATTTCCATGAGGACGGGGGAGACTGCGATTTGACCCCATTACTAGCCGAACCGTACTTATTCCCGACCTCCCCGGTGCTCATACCTCGCTTTCCCTACTCTTCATTAACATAATACCCCATAGCTCAACATTCCTTCATACTTTCAAGTTCAAGTCTCGTAATCGCCAAACATGTTCTTGCCGAAACTTTTGATTCTCGCCGCGGCGCCGATGACGGTGTGCGCTCTCCCTCTCGACGGTTTCCAGTCAGGAAGACCCATCAACTCGGACAGAAGACCTTCGATGTAAGAATCTGTCGGGAAAAAGGCCTCCTGAATTTTATTCACCGAGACTCTAGCGACTCAGATACGAGATTCGAGGATCTCGATTTGAGGCTTCCGCAGCCCGGATATAAACACCCTACACCGTGGTACGTCCATACAGCGTCTCCGCACTTGGCTTTTCGCGACTAAAAGCCTTTCGAAGGCTCGACGAACCGGACAACGAGATTCCCGTCCCTCCGCAAGAACCGGCTGATAAGTATGTACCGCAGCTCAGGCGCTGCGATAAGACCTTCACCGGTTGAACCATCTCACGCGATTCATATTCAAGCTATTATGGGTTGTTCAACCCTGATCGAGCCAAACCGCATATTCGGCGTCCTCCCACTACCGATGACGGGTGTGTTTTACCCAATATAGGACTTGGATCGATTTGGGCTCTGACCATCTCGCTTTGTCATTAGGTCTGGTGAATCTCGTGCCGCTAAGTACGCTTTGCTTGTCCGACGGGCTGTTTGGTGGGTACCAACCATTCATTTTTTTGGGGTGTAGAGACGAAATTTCGGCTCCGAGGGTCAAGCATTTCTGGAAGCCCGATGGCCGGTACTTTGGATAGAACTACTTGTACTTGGGCCAGAGACGATAGATTTTTAAATCCTATACACATTTATGAAAGCCGGGTGTGGGGTTCTCGGGCCGCAGTTGGGTGCTCCCCCGCGAGTATGAGCAATAAATAGCATAAGGCAAGGATTGGTGAAGGTTCCCCTAAAAGCAAAGTCTCTGATCGACACACACTTATCAAGGCAGAAGGCAAGGGTAGTAAAAGTGACCAAAAAAGCTGCCTCGGTGAGACTCGAACTCACAGCCTCCTGATATGCCGGATAACAGTCAGACGCGCTAACCAATTGCGCTACGAGGCACGGTCAGTAATCTGCATGATGTAGCGTTCTACATAGCAAAATAAAGGTATTAGGTCGTTTTCTTACTATTCTCTTGGTGACACCAGCCTATCGAGATTTGAACGTTCGTCAAAACTCACGTTAAGGGTCAATCATCAGGGTATCCCTCGTCATTTAACCTCAGATGTGTAAGCAAGATCGACACTGTAGCGTCCGTCATGATCGGACTGACCATATTTGGTTTTACTTTACCTTAAACTTCGTCACTTTCCTAAATGGTTTTCCCGGCCCATCCGGTACCATCGGAAAGAAATCACAGACCACGATGGTTGCGCAGAGCAATACCCAAATTCGGCAGTAGTATCCCACATGCATTGGGACCATGTGTCCTGCTTCTCTCTGGCGGCCAAGTGCGATTCCGTTCTATAACTCAGAGAGCATCACCGTCTGTAAATGGTTCTCAGCAATACAATTTAGAGGTCGGTTGTGACCCCCGCAATGGAGGTTCGGTAATGGCATGCCCGAACCCTGACCTCAAGTGCAAAGACTCACTCCATCTCTAGCCCTGCATGCAAACAAAAGCACACTGAAATTGGGCCGCGACGTTGAAATCGTCGAAAAGACGCTATTTCCAATATAAGTGATCACAACACGGTCGGACACTTGGTGCTTGATAGGCAACTTCCGAGTAGGACAAGACCTTCC